TGAGAGGCCCGAGTAGACAGCATTGATTACTTCCCTGAGGAAGGATGTACCACCTCTCACCCCTGCCTAATCTAGCCTGCACTAACTCTGCCTGCCAATCTATCTGATCCTAGATCTGCTCCTCTCAGCTATGAAGCTGTCAGGTATCTATGATTATACAAGAGCATACTGGAACACTTATATGCCTTTTGAATCCTCTCAAATTCTATAAGAGCTTTTGCTTTGTTTCTGTCTAAGCCATAAACCCTAAGCCCTCGTTCTTAAGTCTATTCAAACCCTAAACCCTAAACCCTTAACTATAATTTTTATTTTGCTTAAACATCAATCCACTGACCTCCACTTTCTCTCCCATTTCCTATCCCTATGGTAGTCCTATTTCCTGTGTCATTCCTTGGACCCCCGAGGACACCTCTGATCTGTCCACCGTAAACCAATGAAAATTCAGTCTCTGTCCCTCTATGGTCGCAACTTTGCCACTGGCCAGTACCTTATTCTGAAATTTCGTGAGAATAGCCTTCTCCTTTTCAGGGTTTACTGCTACTTGTATTTTAATCCTCTGCCATTGAGCTCTAATGTCTGTTTCCAATAGTTTATAGAGTATGGTTCTGGCTTCCATCCTGGTCATCAGACTTTTGCCAATCACCTATTGACATCTCCGTTTCCAGATAATCCACAATGTGTACTGTCTCAATAGCTGAAAGATGTATTTTTCACTCTCTTTCCATCTCTTAGGTACTTCCCTTCCCATAAGCAAGAGCCTTCTGTTACTTGGAAAGAGAACTTCCGTAGTACGCTCCCAAAGTATACCGGCCATGGCCCATATGCATTCTGCCTCCGTACATCTAAGTAAGCAATGTACCAGCGTTTCAGGCTCTTTGTCAGTGCACATAGTACAGTCTTGTTGTATTTCTTCCCTATGCTGCCTACTCCTTTTTTCATATAACCAGACATTGACTGGAAGTGCCACATGGAATATAAGCCACTGCATACTCCGGATCTTGCCCTACCTGATACTTTGAAGGCTTGACCATGGTATTTTACCTACCTGTTGTCTTGGTATGCCCACCCTTTTTTCCCATCTTATCGCCAAAGGCCTATCCAAGTGGTTCGATCTTCTTCTAAGCCGATATCCCCATTCAGTCGTATACTGAAGTATGTTAATTTTCTTGACCACTCGTGACGAGTTTCCCTTGATGTTCCATGCCCATTCAACTGGATCCACCTCTAGATTCTGAATAGTGATCGTTGGAGCATATATTGTGAATTCGTCATTCTCTATGACTCTGACTTTTCTCAAGAGATCCTTCCTGATGGTGATCGGTACCTTTGAATCCTTATCTAAGCAACTCACTGTGGTACCTGGGGTAAAGATTGAACACATATCCGCTTCCAACCACTGTTTATCTGGTCCTACCTCCTGACCAATTCGAAAGGCTTGCTGAGGTTCTACACTATGACTCCAAGTTGCCCAATCACTCCATCCCCATTTGTATGTACCCCTCAACATCCTCGTCCAATCCTCCGGAATGGAGATTGATATGTCATTCAGGTTTTCAAATAATCTATGACACCCCTTCATTTCTTCCCTCAACTCTCTACCCGTTTTCCATCTTCCATTCGATTCTGACCATAGATGTTTCACTTGCCATACTCCATGTTCCAACCAGTTTCCCCACTTGGCATCCTTTGCTGTGAGTGTCCTTGGTTTTCCTTGGGGGTCCTTCAACCATGGATTACAAAATAGCTGTTGCCTAAGCACTTCCTCCCTCCTCCTTGGTTGTCTTACTTTTGCCGGGAATATATGTTACATGCTGTACAGGCCCCAACCTGTTTCCCTACAGGGAAACTTCCAGGCTCTTGCCTGGAAGCTTCCTTCTGACAGGGCCTACAGGCCCCAGCCTGTTTCCCTACAGGGAAACTTCCAGGCTCTTGCCTGCAAGCTTCCGYAGGGTCTMGGCCAGGGAGGCATTGGCAAGAGCGGCCTCCTACGCATAGGGCATTGGCACGGCCAGCCTCCGGCACGGGCCAGCACTATAAAGGACTGGCCCGCCCTGCAGGA